TCTTTATCTTTGCTATTTCGATTTTTTCTCTATCGTCACCATTTTTTTCTCTCTATCATTACTATTTCCATTTTTACTCTATCATCTCCATTTTCCTTTTTTTCTCCTAACGCCACTATTTCCATTATTCTTTATCGTCACCATTTCCCTTTCTCTCTAACATCACTATCATCATAACAACAATGATTACTTGTTAAATTACTTACAAACGCTGATGATAGTGACAATTCACTCTTCATTATCACTTATCTCATCATATCTGTTCATCATTGTTCTTAATTATCACTTTCACCATCGTTTATAACGTCTTCATTACCACCATCTTTCGTTTTCCTTCTATCCACCAATTTATCTCACTTTATCTCTATCCATTTATCTACCTTTGTCTTTTATTTATCATTTCCGCAATCTATCATAATTTCCTTATGACTCACTGGTTCTCGTGGTCTAAAGAAAGGAATTGGGAAATTTGTGATAGAAGTAGGAATAATGATGATGACGAAGAGGAGGATGGAAATAAAAAGTATTATTATATAAGAAAAAATTCTTATCATCGATATCATTATCAATATTGCTCATTATTACTATTAGCATTAGAATTATTAGTATCAACATAATCATTATTATTGGTATCATTATAACTTATCATTACTATCATCATCATCATTATTGTTATTATTATCGTTGTCACTATCATTATCATTACTAATATTATCATTATCATCATTATCATTATTATCCTCATTATTATCACTATCATTATTTCATGATGAAAACGATAATGACCAAAAGAATATCCTTAATAATGGAGGTTAACTCAACAGTAATATCATTATTCCATTAGTACCATTTTATGTTACTATACAATTATCAATATCATGAGTTTCAGCAAATCGATTTAGCATGTGCATTATCAGATGATATGCAAATAAAGGAGACACGTGTTTCTCTAATAAGTTACAACATAGCGCGCGCTTGTGTGTGTGTAGCTTAAAAATGGTAAATAAAAAATTAAAAATGGTAAAAAAAAAAAAATGTAAATTAAAAATGGTAAATAAATAAAATTCTCCAGGAGCAGCAAATTAAAAAAAAAATCTTTGATTGGGGACACCGCCGCAGAAACCGATTGTACTCACACTTGAAGAAATCATTAAAAACAATGATAATATTATTGATAATGATAATCGAAGCGCCAAACGGTTTTTGTTCCTCCCTCACAATGCTAATGAATCCTTTATAAAAAAAAAAAAAAAAACTCGATCCGAATAATGATCCGGATCACCATCAAAATCGAAGTTGGGCGAAGACAGCACTCCTGGTAAAGATTCTTTTTTTTTAAGTTATCCTGCTAACCAACGAAGAAACAAACTAACCAACGCTACCAAAAACATAACCTTCTTGGCGGAGGTAATGATGATAGAATAATGATAACAAAATAATGATAAAAAATAATGATAATGATAATGATAATAATAATGATAATAATAATAATAACAATAATAATGATAATAATAACAATAATAATAATGATAATAATGATAATGATAACAATAATAATAATAATTATTATTATTATAACAATAATGATAATAATAATAATAATGATAACAACAATAACAATAATGGTTATTAAAATGATGACAATAATAGTAATAGTGATGATGATGATTATTATGATGTACTGAAAATGATAAATATAATAATGATGATAATGATAATGGTAAAAGAATGGTAATGATAACAGTTACCCCTATTTTCAACGGGGTAACTGTTACTAGCTGATGCAATCACTTAAGATATTCCTGGATCAGGACCGGATCCCACCAATGACTAAATCTATGTTGCACAAAGACACACCTCTGATAAAAATAATAATAATAATTAATAATAATAATAATAATGAATAATAATAATAATAATAATAATAATAATAATAATAATAATAATCATAATAATAATAATAATAATAATAATAAATCAAGAAAAAAAATCATTAAAAAATATGTTCATAAATTTCTGAATCATCCTGCTAACCAACCAACAAACAAACTAACTAAGCAACGCTACCAAAAACATAACCTCCTTGTTAATGCTGGGTGAGTGTGAATAACAAGTAGGATGTGTTTGATTCTACGCCATTTTTGACATGTTTGGGTCATAAATCGCTTTCCGAGAATTAAAAAAAAATAGATAAATAAAAAAATAAACAAATAAAAGATACATATACATATACTGAGAGAGAGAGAGAGAGAGAGAGAGAGAGAGAGAGAGAGAGAGAGAGAGAGAGAGAGAGAGAGAGAGAGAGAGAGAGAGAGAAAGTATATATGTATATGTATCTATGTGTGTGCGTGTATATATGTGTGTGTATGTGTGTGATTGTGTGTGTGTGTACACATATAGAGACAGACAGACGGACATAGACTAACAGAGAGAGATCCACCCAAAAATTCCCGCCAACAGCATAAAAAAAAAGAAAAAAAAAACTTGGCACCTCATCTTCCGAGACACACGACAGATCCATCAGAATCCCGCGCCAAAATGTCCATAATTTACCTTTTTGATATAACGTGTTGCTTCCACAGAAAACGGGTTCATCGGAGTACATGATGAAAGTGTAGGAGAACGGGAAGTGAATGTTGTTTGATGTGTATATCCTTTTGGGTCGGTTATAACAACAGGACTGGCGACGGTTACTAAGGCGGGAAAATTTGATTAAGGGGGGGGGGATTTTTGAGCAATTCAGGTTTTGTTATGATCATTTTTGTTATTCAACGTTCAATATCAGTATCAGTAAAAGTATTTGTTTTAGTGTCAGTATCATTACGTTTGCCGTTTCCGTCACTATTATTATTACTACTAATATCGTCATCAACAGAGAATAGGGAGTGAGTGTGTAGTATGGGTATATTTGGTATATTTCACTTTCTCTTTTTTTTTTTCTATTTTTCTGACTTCGTTTTTATTTCAAGGTCTCCAACTCTCTCTCTCTCTCTCTCTCTCTCTCTCTCTCTCTCTCTCTCTCTCTCTCTCTCTCTCTCTCTCTCTCTCTCTCCTCTCTCTCTCTCTCCTCTTCCCCTCCCTTCTTTCCTCTCCCTCTCAAATTCAAATATTCAAACCATACAGCCCCCCCCCCCTATTCAAATTCAAACGCCAACCAACCGTCCTTCTGACACAAAACCGTTGAAAGTAACAACGTCAAAATTCCCCCCAAAGCGCCAAGGCAGCACCTCGGTATCATTATCTCATGAATGTTCGAAAGAATAAAGAAAAAAAATGTGATTCTGAGGTGAACCAGTTTTCCTGTAAGTGGAACGCGGGCGCGCCGAAGTACCGTTAATTTCACCGAGGAGAACCTAAGTCATCTGAGGCAACACGTGATTTTGAGGTTAGCTTCACCGTCACTGTCGCTATCGTTGTATCATTGCCTTTTTGACGTCTGTTTTTCTTGTTTTCTTTCTTTTTTATTGTGGTAATTGATGATGTGATGTTTTCTGCAGCCGTTTTTCTTCTTCTTCTTCTTCTTCTTCTTTCTTCTTTTTTTCTTTTTTTCTTTTTTTTTAGTTCGTTGGTGTTGTTTACTCGGTTTACAGGTTAGTCAAGGCTGACTACCTACCTTCTCCTTATCCTCCTCCACCTCCTCCTCTTCTCTGCCTCCTGCATCTCTTTGTCTCTCTGCTCCTTCTCCTCTTCTTTTTCATCTTCCTTCACTTCGTTCTCCTTCCCCTCCTTTTTCTTCTCATATTCCCCCTCTTCCTCTTTCTCATTTTCATCCCCGTTTCCGCCTCCTCCTTTTCCTCTTCTTCATACTCCTTCGTCTTCTCCTCTCTTTTTTCTTCTTCTTCTCCTCCTCCTCTCTTTTTTCTTCTTCTCCCCCTCCTCCTCTTTTCTTCTATTTTCTTCTTCCTCCTCCTCCTCTTACTCTTCCTATTCTTCTGTTTCATCAGTTTCCTACCTCTCTTTTTCCTCTTCTTTGTCTCCTTTCTATCTCTCTTTATCTCCTCCCTCTCTTTCTTCTCTCCTACTCCCCTCTTCATTTTCTTCTCTTAATGCCTCTTTTCTACAGGTGAAAAATGAGACAGTGATAAGAAAGATAGTGGAGAAATTCACGACATAATTAATAAATAAGTCAAAATCACGAAATAAAGAATTTAAAAATGACAAAAACTGATAGAACAAGGGGAAAATACGTAAAAAGTAATATAAAAAGATAATTGATAAATGAAAACGAGAGAGAAAAAATGAGAGAGACATAAAGCAAGGGTGGAAATGATGAGCGACACGTAGATAGATAGATAGATATAGATAAAGAATGGGAGAGAGACAGAGAGAAAGAGATAATGGAGATGGAGGGAAAGAATCAACAAAAGAGAAAGAGAAGGAGAGAGAGAAATACAGAGACAAAGGTAGATGAATAGAGTAGACAGAGATAGGTATGTACGGGTATAGGTAGAGAGATAGGCACACACAGACTGAAACAAACAAAGACAGATGCATGCAAAAAGAGAGGAATATACACGGAGACAAAGAGAGAAGGAGAGGGAGACACACACAAAGAGAGAGAGAGAGAGATATATAGACAGAGAGAGAGAAACAGATTCTACAAGAGCAGTGAAAGAGAAAAGGAAACACAAAGACAGTGTGAGAGAGAGATATACACAAAGGCAGTGAGAGAGAGAAATGCATAGAATGAGAGCGAGGGAGATTACACGGAGACAGTGAGTGAGAGAGAGAGAGAGAGAGAGAGAGAGAGAGAGAGAGAGAGAGAGAGAGAGAGAGAGAGAGAGAGAGAGAGAGAGAGAGAGAGAGAGACAGACAGAGAGAAGACAGAGACAGAGACAGAGACAGAGAGAGAAAGAGAAAGACAGACACAGAGAGAGAGAGAGAGAGAGAGACAGAGGAGAGAGGGAGAGAGAAGAGAGAGAGAGAGAGAGAGAGAGAGAGAAGAGAATGGAAAGGGCCAAACCCCAACAGGAGTGTATATAAGCGACCCGCCCTGCTGTTCCCGAGCTGCAGTTTGGTGTCGGCTTCGCAGGTGGAAAGAGGAAGGGGAACTCAGCAGCCAAGAGAGTGTTTCTGTGGGACGAAGGAGGCATAGAGAGAGAGAAGAATAGAAAGAGAAAGTGATAATTCCGGGAGATAGCGAGGGGAGAAGAGCAGGATAATGTGGAAGGAATTGGTGAGTGGCAGAGAGCGGAGGTTTGGAAGAAGCATACCAAGATTTTTCCTTCGTTTTGTCGCGTATATATTAATGATAATAAGTTAGTATCTAGACGTGTCTGTGAATAAAAATTCTTCGTCACGTGATAATGCAAGTGAATGAAAGTGATGTGGCGTTTTGTGTGGTAGGAATTGTGGTGAATGTGTTTGAGTGTGTGTGTGAGTACATGTGTGTGCACGCGTGTGTATGTGCGTTTGTGTATGAGTGTGTATGAGTTAGTGAGTGGTAGTGTATGAGTAAGTGAGTGAATGTGCGTCTGTATGCATATGTATAAATCTTTAGGTAGTGTATGTGTGTCTGTGTATGCATTTATGTATGGATGTCCTAGCGTGTGTATTTTAGTATGAATTTGCACAATCCGCATACACATACACATATAAACCGGTATGAGTCAACTCGGTTAGACATGAGAGTATTTACGTGCAGCCACGTGTAAGTAATTCAACACGTGTTATAAATCACACACACATTCACCTTCCTCTCCACCGAATAGAGATATACTTTCTGTCTCTGTATTGTGTTCGGTGCGAATTTGTGACATTTTATTTCTTCTTATTATTTATTCATCATCATCATCATCATCATTATTATTATTATTATTATTATTGTATTTAATTATTTATTCTATTTTATTTTATTTTTTCAACTCTCGGTATGATTATTTTTCTTCTTTTCTTCCCTTGTTCTAGGTCCGGTTACAAAGAGACGAGAGATATTATTTATGAAAATAATATCGGAAACTCTTAATTTATTTATCATTTGATAGTAATTGATAATAACCGTGTGCATCTTTTTAACTTAATTTTCTTACTTTTTTTCAATCTTTTTCCCATCTTTCGCTTTCCTTTTTTGTCGTTATTCTTCTTCCTTTTTACTTTCTCTTCTCTACTTTCTTTCTTCTGCTTTCACTTCAATTTCTTCTTTTATTTTTCTTGTTCTTCGTTGCTTTTGCCTCTCTTCCTTTTTTGTTTCTTTTAATTTTTTTCATCTTCTCCATTTTCCTTTTCCTCTTCTTCCATTCCTTCATCTATCTCTTCCTTCTCCTTCTCCTTCTTCTCTTTCGTCTCCTCCCTCTTCCTCCTTCTTCCATCTCTTAATTATTCTCTATATTCCTTTTCTGTATCCTTTTCTTCTCCTCCCGTTCATCCTCCTCATCCTCCCCCTTTTTTTTTACTTATTCTTCTTCTTCTCATTCTTCTTCTTCTTTTTCTTCCTCCTCCTCCTCCTCCTCTTTTCTCTTCCTCTTCCTCTTCTATTTCTTCTCCTCCTCCGCCTTCCCCTCTTTCTCCTCCTCCTCCTCTTCCTCCTTCCTCCTCCTCCTCTTCCTCCTCTTCTTCCTCGTTCCTCCCCTCTTCCTCCTCCTCTTCCTCCTTCCTCCTGCTCCTCCTCTTCCTCTTCTTCTTCTTCTTCTCCTCCTACTCTTCCTCCTTCCTCCCGTCTTCCTCCTCCTCCTTCTCTTCCTCCTCCTCTTCCTCCACTCCGAATTTTTTTCTCCTCCTTTTTCTGCCACCTTGATTTTCATCTCTCTCCTCCTCTTCTTTTATTCTGCGTTCGCTTACAAAGAGACGAGATACATATGATGAAGATAACATTAGAAATTCCTAATTTACATATCATTTACAGTTAAGGAGAAGAGGAGAGAGAAGGAGAGAGAGAGAGAGAGAGAGAGAGAGAGAGAGAGAGAGAGAGAGAGAGAGAGAGAGAAGAGAGAGAGAGAGAGAGAGAGAGAGAGAGAGAGAGAGAGACTGACAGACAGACAGACAGACAGGAAATGGAATTGTTTATGCTCTTCTTTCATAAGTTGCTTTGGAACGAATTGAAAAAATTGATTACCATGTCATTTTGCAGCAGTTGCCATTCACTCCAGCGTAAGCCTCGTTCCAGTCTGACAGACAGAAGCAGAGACCGACACACACGTGTATGTGTATGTGTGTGTGTGGCATGTTGTGTGTGTGTGTGTGTATGTGTGTGTGGTGTGTGTGTGTGTACATATGTGTATATATATATACGTATATATATGTATGTATATACATACATAATATATATATAATATATATATATATATATATATATATATACATAATATATATATTATATATATATATATATATATATATATGTATATGTATATACATATATATACATGTGTATGTGTGTATATGTATGTAAGCATGTTTCCATATGTATATATATATACATATATAATATATATATTATATATATATATATATATATATTTATATATATATACATATTATATATATATATAATATATATATATAATTATATAATATATATATATATATATATGCGCGTGTATAGATATTATATATACATACATATAATATATATATATATATATATATATATATATATATATATTACTGTGTGTGTGTGTGTGTGTGTGTGTGTGTGTGTGTGTGTGTGGTGTGTGTGTGTGTGTGTGTGTGTGCATACATATATATATAATATATATATATATATATATATATATATATATATATATATATATATATACATATATACATATATATATATACATATACATATATATACATACACATACACATTACATATGTTACACACACACACACACACACACACACACACACACACACACACACACACACACACACACACACACACACACACACACACACACACACACACACACACACACACACATATTATATATATATATTATATATATATATATATATATATATATATACATATATACATATATATACATATATACATATATATATACCATATATATATATATACATATTATACATATATATATATATATATATATATATATATATATATATATATATATATATATATATGCTCGAGAGGGGGGGGGGATGAGCGAGACACAGAGACGAGAAAAGCCCCCTCACAAACCCCCTTCCCAGGACAAAGCACAGGTCTCGCTTCGTGGCCTCGCTCTTCCCGGCTATTTCCACACCGGATCTCGAACGGTAAATCGAGCAGACGCGAGAGGGGGAAAAAATACAGGTTTGGTAGACTAACCGACCTTCAACTTTCACTCGGATTCGAATGGTCTCTCACGTTCGAATATGCAGTTCGGTCTCTGCGGTTCGTTCGAGCGTGAATCGTTTCGAACGCAGTGGATGCATTTCGGGAGAGAAATGCGAAATGAGTCTTTGGGAAATGTTGATATAGTTTGTTTGTTTTTTGTTTTGTTTTTTGCTTTCTTCCTTTATAAAGTGTAAGAATTACCTGTTATTATCGTTATCATTATTTATCATTACCTTTGTTCTGTGAGGTATGATAATAACTTTATTTTGCATCTTCGAGAGGATACATTATTTCGGTATTTTTGTGAATAAGACTAAATGATTTGTGCATCTTAGGCGTGAGTTTAATTCATTTTTGTATTTTATATAACTTGGAGAATCAATTATTTTTATATTAGTATGAGACAGAATATTTTTCCTATTCCTTTGTGAGGCATGTAGCTATATTTTTATTGCTTTTAATTGAATAATTACCTACTGCTACTTGCTATTATAGTCTCGTTTAAGTAGATTAGATTACATCTTTAATTAGCATAATGCAAAATTATTATACGTGTGCCACCCATATATGTAAACGTGGTTGTGTGTGTGTGTGTGTGTGTGTGTGTGTGTGTGTGTGTGTGTGTGTGTGTTGTGTGTGTGTGTGCATTTGTGTGTGTGTATGTGTGTGTGTGTGTGTGTCTACCTGGGTGTGTTAGATGCATATGCGTTTGTGTGTGCATGTCTCTGCGGTTGTGCACGTGTATGCAGGTGTACAAAAACAAGTCCTATAAACCTGTTCAGATAAGATTTCATTGTCTCACTTGACCTTTCCGCCCAACACGGTTTCAGTCCTCACACAGCCTAGAGGTATTTCCTTTGTGGAGAAAAAAAAAACAAGTTACGCGCACTTTTTGGGGCTACAATGAATATAATTTCGGCGTAACTTGTAATCTGTGACTTTCGACTGCGATGACTTAAGCGCAAGTTACATTCACTCATGTATTGTGTTGTGTAACTTTAGTGTAACGTTCACATTTATACTAAAGTTGCTGAAATGAGTGTAACTTCATCATTTCAAATTTCCATCACATTTCTTCGGTGGTGAATAGATCTAACTTTCATATTGACTCAAGTAAAGTCATTAAGCTTCTTGTTTGTAACTTTTAACTTAAACCATTCCTATGTGATTGAAACATAAGCATACTTTAAATATCTTGCACCTTCCTTCTGGGATGAATAAATCCAGGTTACATACATACGCTGACCTGTATTAACCATAATTTAAGCGTAATATATGATTTGTCGTTTTTGAGTTATAAACCCAAGTTACACCAACTTATTTATATTTAGTGGAACTTCAGCAAACGTTACAATTTTGAACTTTTTCTCTCCCCATACCCAAGTTCCACACGCACTGAGCTCGTTTGGGTATGACTCAGATGAATCTTGTAGTCTGTAGCTGTCCTCTGAACGAACGCATGATACCTCTGATTACACTAACACTCCCTTCCTCTCCCTCCCTCCTGCAGGTGCTGTTAGCCGGGGCGCTGGCATTCGCCCACGCACAGCAGTTCGACTACTATGACTACGTCGACGATGCACAGACGGTGAGCTTTTGTATTTGGAGACGTTTATTGTATTATATTTTGATGTGACAGGCTGTAGCTATTTTTTAAATTGTTAGGTCAGTTTGTATGTTTGCCATGGGCACTCACTCGCATACACATACACATACAGACATATAACACGAAGGTATAGACGTGCGCGCGCGCGCACACACACACACACACACACACACACACACACACACACACACACACACACACACACACACACACACACACACACACACACACACACACACACACACACACACACACACACACACACACACACAGTATGTGCAGGCATTGCAGCGATGAAATCTTTTTAATATTGTTACCCCTACTCAAACATTTTCTATTTTAAAAAAGGTGACCACAGAAAATGTTTTGTAGGACAAACTAAATTATTTTTCTTTTCTTTTATCAAATTGTGTTTTACTTAAATACATCAAATGTTCTTAGTAGAGGAAGCGACCAAGTTGACAGGTTAGAATAGACACACTAGCAGTCACCTAATACGCTCTGCATATCTTACGAAAATTAATTCATTAAAATAGTACATTCACTAGTACCATACATTCCATACTATTGTATGTATCAGCACTTCATCCTACACACAATACCTGCCATACTATTAATCACAGAAATAACTAAATTACTAGAGAATTTACCAGTAGATCTGGAAAAGCGAAAGCATAAATAACTAAAGTCTATTTCTCCAACAGGTCCTCCCCGCCCCTCCTCCCCCTCCTCCTCGGTCCAGACCACAGTCCAGACCTGTAGCGCGAGGACCTCCTCCGCCCCAGTCTAGACCTGTAAGTGGGCCTATCGATTAATTGTTCTTGTTATTATTGTTTATTGTTATTTCATTGTTATTATTGTTTATTGTTATTTCAGTGGCTTCTTCTTGTTATTACTGTTGTTGTTCTTGTTTTGTATAAAATGTGGTTGGTATTCACTTTATGTTCTGTTATTGTTGTTATTAACAATGGAGATTATTATTGTTCATTTTTGAAGACGCAATTGATTACTGTTTCAATAGTTATTTCTCTCTCTCTCTCTCTCTCTCTCTCTCTCTCTCTCTCTCTCTCTATATATATATAATATATATATATATATATAATATATATAATATATATATATATATATTATATGTGTGTGTGTGTGTGTGTGTGTGTGTGTGTGTGTGTGTGTGTGTGTGTGTGTGTGTTGTGTGTGTGTGTGTGTTTGTGTGCATGTGTTTTTGTGTGTGTGTATATATTTGTGTGCATGTGTGTGTGTGTGTGTTGTGTGTTGTGTGTGTGTGTGTGTGTGTGTGTGTGTGTGTGTGTGTGTGTGTGTGTGTGTGTGTGTGTGTGAGAGAGAGAGAGAGAATAAAAGGAGGAGAAAAAATATAGATATAGACAGAGACAGATAAAGAAATGTTTATGTCCACAATATGACCCGTTCCTCCCATCTTTAAGATCCGCGCCACAGAATCACAACAAAGACAATCACTAACCAAACCACAATTCACCGTCTCAAACAGGCAAATCTACCACCAATGAAACAAGATCAGTAAATGAAAAAGATAAATAACATCCTAAAAATTATAATTATAACGAAAATAATGTCCTTTTTTGCAGGCATCCCAACACCCCGCCCAACAGCAGACCGCAAA